GGGCATGCAAACTCAGACCCGCAAGGACAGAGCCTGCTGTGTGAACCATTACAGGTCTCGGTTCTGGGAGGGCCGGCCCTGGTCACCGAGACTGCTACAGACCCAGAGCGCTGGCCCAGTCTCTGGGCGCAACCTCCCTGCGTGCGAGAGCTCATGCCCTGCTGAACGGCCCTTACCCTTCCCGTGGTCTAAATGCTCTGAAATTCTCCGCATTGAGCTGAAATCTCTCTTCCTGCCATGGCTGTGGCCATGTAGAATTTCTGCTGTACTTTTTCATTTCCAAGGTCAATGTGCTCTATCATTTCTTCTACCTCTTCATGAAGCACAGCAGGGTTCTGTGTTGACTGAATTCCCAACCAAGTTCACATAGAGTCAAATGTGCCCTCCAACTGGGAGGATCTGAGTTTTAGACACAGTGTATCATTTAGAATCAAGACTATATGAGGTGGATAGTTGAGCTGGGAAAAAATTTTGGTTTACAAGGAAAAATTGAGTGATCATTTTTATCTGGCTTAAACTGGTCTAAGCTGGCACTGACAGCAGTTATTCCTATTGTAGAAAAACTTGACCAAGAAATAACATGAACAATTGCACATTTACTAGACAAAGTCAGATCCTCCCAAGGCAAAGAGAGGCTCAGTGCTTCCAGAGCAGGTATGTCCCAGGCAAGTGGAGACAAAATGGCAGCAATACCACTTGCAGGTCTTGGCAAAGTGGTGATCATGCAAGGAAGGGTAGGAGTGGGGCACCTGTTTGCGTGGCAATTGTGTCATGATGGAGCTGAGACTGGAAGCATAAAATGTGGGGACCCTACCTTACCCAGCTCTGCTGGGAGCCTGGCTAGGGGTGCACAGCTCTGTCCTGCTATCCAATGAGAGCCAGGACCAGAGACCTTCCCCTGAGCCTGCTGCTCTCCCAGTACCTGATCCCACCTGGAAGGGCTGCCCAGGCACACACTGGTGAGCTCAGTGAGCTGTGGTGTACATGGGAGTCCTCCAACAAGGCAGCGGGAACTGCCAGCTCTGGCAACTCCAGTTTTCAGAACCATCCTAAATGGCAGGAGGGAGGTGGAGGGAGCCAAAGGACCTGCCTTGAACTGGATCTCCCCAGCAGATGTCACATGCAGCAGGTGAAGGCACCACACCCTGGTGATGGCTGATGGCTGACTGTCCTTCTGAGGCCAAGCACAACCTGTCTCCCCTTTCTGTCTCTCCCTCCTCCCTTCCTCCCAAGGTGCCACTGCTCACTGTCTGCACTTTCTACCAAGTAGGCTTTGAAATGACACTGTAGTGGGCAGTCTTTTCTTCTCATTGCAGATTAGCCCAAGTCTTGTTGGCTAGAATGTGGCTACCAATCAGGGATAAGCCATGGGAGGTAAGGAAAACTCTGTGGGGTGTGGTGGTAAAGGCGGCTGGATCCCAGATTGTGCAGTTTGAGTCCTGGACCTGGCTGCTGGAAAGACACACCAGGCATATGTGTACATGCCCAAAATCGCAAAAGGAGGGAGAAATGAAGAAAGGATTGTTGTGTGACCAAGCACTTCCTTGTGGGGAGTGCTTTTTAAGTTTTTCTTTCTGGGCATCATCGGTGCCCTCTGGCAAATTAAAAAAGAATGAGAGCGGAAGGGAGAGAGGGAAAGAAAGAGAGAGAGAAAAAAAAGACAGATAAAATCTGATTTCGCCGACCATGAAACTGTGGAACTATAAGAGAATGAACTGAGAGCTGAAGAGAACCTCCTGGCATTGCAGACACTGTAACTTGTCAGGGATGTCAACTGAGGACTTTGGTAACTTCAGGAAGGCCCCCAGAGAGCTGAGCCATCTTTAGGACCCAGGCAGACTTCTTGTTCCACATCCCAATGCTCAAATGCTCACATAAAAAGAATGTGACAAACACAGAGAATTAGCTCAGGTACTGAAGTCAGACCAGCCACTGGGCAGGAACACATACACACACACACACACACACACATATGCACGCACTCAGTCACTGGCCTTGTATGCCTGCACATGGATTCCTTGCTCATTCAGCCCCACCCTGTAAAGGTATTTACAGAATTTAGGTTACTGCCCTTCGCAGCAGCATTGCTTCATACACAAATACTTTGAGGTCAAAGTTTATGAAGTGTGACTTATTCATTAATGACTAAGTTCCATTAACCTCAGCTTCCAAATGTGAATTCCTAGCTGGGGCTGGAACTGGAAGATCACAGGGACTACCTTGCCTGCTGACAGGGGGACGGGCGGGGGTGGGGGTGTCAGAGATCACTACCCTGAACCTGGGACAGGATGGCCTAGTAAATCATTGCATTTATCTAATTTCTCTCTCTTCCTTCCTCCATTCCTCCTCATTCCCCACCAGTTCCCACCTTTCTCCTAACCCATAGCTAGGAGCTCCAGCACCCAGAAAGGGGCCCACAGGTCCTCCATAAATTGAGAGTGGTTTCACCTTCCAGATAACCCTTGAACCTCAGCAGTAAGGCTGAGTCTTAGGGTGCAGGAAAATCTATATTAAAGCAACTAAGGCAGGTGAGACTCCCTCCTAACTCAGCCTCATTCTGGTTCCTAATAGACCCCAAAACAGAAGGGGCTAGATGACAATCCTAGGGGAAGAGAGTGGCCCCAGAGCACTTTAGGGCTCTCCCCCCACCAGGCCGAAGAAGGCCAAGTTGCCATTTAGACATTTGAGATCTTTACTGGAAGTCCCCAGTTCGCTGCTTATAGCTGATTGTTCAAAATTAAGTTCAGATAGCCCAGAAGACAAGATGCAAAACTGTGGGGACCCTTGGCAACTCCTGGGGATTGTCAATGGCCCTGTCCCCAGAAGGACAATAACCAAGAATGACTGGCATTTCTGAAGTGTTAGGAACTTGGAATGTGCAAAACAATTTCACTCTAGTGTTTTCTTTATTTTTTTCCAAGGAAGTCTTTAGGAGAACTTCAGCTGTCATAAACAGAAGTTGACAATTTCTGTGCTATAGCGTGTGGGCTGGGAAGGGCCCTCAGGCCATCATCTGGTGCCAGCCTTTTCCCCCACAGGGCTTTTGCTCCTAGAGAAAGTCACTGATTCTAGTTGGAGGGGCTGAAGGGGAGAGAACCTGTGTAGGAGGCCAACGGGGTACACAGGTTTCCCCACTGTGCCTTTATGTCAAGTTCCATTACAAAGAGTTCCGATTTTCCCAGGACATGGCAGCTTACAGCCCTGTGTTCTCTTTTCTCAGATATTTGAAAGCAGGGCTTGTCTGACTAGTAGATTAGAAAAGGATATGAGAACTTGTTCCCCATACTTTAAAGCAGGAAAAAAATAAAAAGCCTTGTTGTGAAGAGAAGACACAAAACCTGTTTGGTAAGTTGTCAGTTCAATGAAAACACGCAGTTCTCACAGGTGGACATTCTCCGCCCATCCTCCCCCCTCCAGCAGCTTGGCTTGGGACCATAGGCAGGGGACAAAGAGAACTGCAGGAATACAAGGTTGTGGCTCATTCAGAGATCACCATTATTTAATGACAGGAGGTTAAGAACCCAAGGGGAGCAGTTTAGGAGAAAAAAAAAGTTTATTAATCTTGCCATGTCACAGTGATAAAATGCACTGGGAGAAGAATGCCTTCATTCTGTGAACCACCATTAGAAACACAGTACGGTGGTCACAAGGTTTCGACAGGAGTAAATTGCCATATTCTGTTTCTCTCTCTTCATTCCTCTGAAAAAACAACAGTTAAGTAGCTGACTTCTTAGACCACCTGTATAAAAAAATATCTTCACCAAATTCTCTGAAAGGTCAGAATCCTCACAGCCAGAGCATGGAAATTTAAAAATACTTTTCTGATAAAAAAAAAAAAATAATGAAAAAGCCAATCCTGAGGGCTCTGCAGACCTCAGTTGTCATCTCTACTAAGCTCCTCATGAAAGCTCGATTCGAATGGGCCCCTGCAGGAGAAGCTACCTAGCAGGGATTTTGTGTGAAGAATCTGCTGTAGTCAGATGGCAGCTTGAGTACTAGTCCCAGAAGGGAAGCAGTGCAGGAAGGCAGGTCCCGAATCGCACCCTGGGCTGTGCCTCCCGTGGTGGCGCTCTGAGTCAGGTCAGATGCAGAGGGCTCCATTACGAGATGCTATGGACAGGCATCACCCTGGAATTCCTGATGGGGAGCATTCCAAAATCTGCTGCTTTCCTCTGCTGCTTCTCCTTAACAATCGTACAGGAGGATATGAACTGGGGGCATATCGGGAAGCAAAAAGCCAAATTTCTGCCCACTGTGTGACACTAAGTACATGTAGTAGGAACCAAATACCAGACAGGGTGATGGGGAGGTGAGAACTGGAGCAAATACTGGAGGCTAGTCACTGCAAAGGAGTACCATGTGCAGAAGAGACTGTATTCATGGTGTGGCCGTTTGTACATGCCTTTCTAAAGGCAAGAATTTTTTTTTTCTTTTTATGATTCAAGTAGTAAGTTAAAAAGTTTCATGAAAATAGAGACTCATTTATAAGCATCACTTGAAAGAAAGAACGGGCACTTAGGATTTAGCTTTCCTTTTCATTACAATTTTGCTTTGAAATATAGTCCTTCAAATGACCTTGGACCAGATGACCTTTAAGAATGTCACATCACACAGTTATGGCCAGGAAACTAGTGTTCCTCAGAAAACTAGATTTTTTTGTTAACATGATATATACATATATAGACTAGTTCATTAGCAGCTATAATTTACACCTTGTATGAACTATAGGGCTTTAATTACTAGGGTTTTGGGCACACACACACAAAAATGACCAGAGTTACAGCCAGTATAATTATAAATACAAAAAAATTATGAATAAATAGGAAGTAAAGGATATAACCATTTAAAAGAAAGTAACTGAGAATATCATATACAATACAAAAAAAGAAAGTTGCTTATACATAAAACTCAATTTTCCAAAAGGTCATTATAATAGTAATTATACTAATATACAATTAGGATCACCCTACTCATAATGAAATCATAGGGTAAGATAAAAAGAAATGACCCTTATATATAAAGGGTGTTTAAATGTTAGCCATATCAAAGCCCTCTATTATTAAACACTGTGTATGGCATCTCACTTTTAAAAAAGGAAGCAGTCCTCATGCATCCTTTAAACAACCCAACACAAACAGGAGTAAAATTAAAAATAACTATGTTTAAAAGTTGTAAAATTAAAGCACCTATTTAAATTAAGATTATCATCATGAATCAGTGAGATTATTTCATGAAAACAGGAGCTGGACGAGAGACACTAAATACTGTAGTTCTAAAGGGAAAATTATGATCATTCATTTTATATAACCAAAAAAAGCAAATTGAATACTATGAAAAAGTCCTTCACAGCACATTTAAAAGTTTGAATTTAAGTAACACTCAACAGGAGAAGAAACAGCCTCTATTACCGTGCTGGCTGAGACACATACACCGAAGGGCGTGCCTTCTCAGAGCAGCCCCTCCCCATCTATTTTTAGAGGTTTAAGACTCCAGCCTGAAGTAATTTTGATAATAATGCTTGTGGCCACAACTCAGCATGTAAGACATAGTCTGGGAGAAAACCAGTTCCTTTCATACTGTGTAACCTAGTTTGCCGGGAGAAAACCAGTTCTTTTCAGGCTATGTAACCTGGTTCACTGTTTTCCCCTTTTAACTGAATCCTGGTATCTTGCCCGTAAAGCATACACAATCAATCAGGACCTTTAAAAATTCTTTGTTTCCTTCTATTTATAAGCCACCTCGAAATAAGAAAGACTCAAATCAGATCAAGGCGATGACTCTTTTAAAAAATCTTTACTAAAAAAGGAACTGATTTTGCTTATTTGGAAAGACTATTATTTTAATTGGGAAAAGAACACATTACTGAGAAAAAAGCCCTTTTGGTTTGCTAAAATATAGAGATGTGTCCTTAAAACTCCCTTATTAGGAGGCAGCAATTGCTAGGTCATCCTTCACAGTGCTGAGTGGCTCGTCCATCCAGACAGCAGGAAGCCTGGCATCCTCTAGTTTACTGAACAGAGTTTTCAGAAGTTTATATTTATGTCATAATGAATGTGTGCAGATACACACACTATACCTACGTAAGTTAACATACATATATCTAAAAACATACATATATCTAAAAACATGTTAACATACATATAACTAAAAACATGTACATATACGTATGCACAACACGGGCTTGTATACAAAAAACATCCTAGTTAAGTGGCCCCTATTGTCTGAGACTTGCTTTTTCAAAATTACCACCTTTTCTAAACTCAACCTTTCTATTACATTCCCACAACTCAAAATTATAGTAAATCATACTCTAAAGGTTTTGTTTCAATCTTAAAAACCCTGGGTAAACCAAATTATATCCAGAAACAAAAGCATATCTAGAGCTAAACTAACATCGTTCACCCTGTAAAAACAAACAAAAAAAAGCAAAAAAGTAATATTAAGACTACAAAACTTTCACAAGCATTTCTTTTTTATTTTCTTAGAAAAGAAGGGAAAATCCTGAGTATAGAGATCTGAACTGGCTTTCTTGTCATGTAGTTGGGGTAAAAGGCTAGATTAGAGACTTAGGAACAACAGACCAGGCCCAGCCCACTGCTCCCAAACCCCCAAACACTGGACATTTACAAATCATGGACGCTGACAGGTTTTAAAGATGACTCCCTCTCTGAGTTCTTGGAAAAGGAAGGTGCCACGACATGGGCCTGGATTCTTCTTTTTCTTGGAAGGCTTCCCTGCTTCAAGCGCCAGGCCTAAGCCTCTGCACTGACAGAGGGCCTGTGGCTACTGCTTTGTGCCTCTGCACGTCCACTTTAGGCCACATAGCTCCTGGATTTGTGGGACGAGGTGACTCCTGTATTAACACTAAGATGTCGTATCATCTTCTTTTAGAGTGGGAAAAATTAAGGGATATTTTTCACCATCCTGCCGGACATGGGCAGTGACCATGCCTGCCACAGCGCCCTTGCCACAGCATCCATCATAAGGTTTCCTTTAGCAGCCCAAGCTTCCTCAGGGCCTCCCGCCGAGCCTCCTCCGTGGAACCTCGGCCAGCAAACTGCACGGTGACACCCTGGGGTCTGAAGCCCACAGCTCTGGGGAGAGAGCCTGACCGCTTCCTCCCATCGTGGCCACAGTCCAGCGGCCGGTGTTCATAGAAGCTCTTGCTGTTGTTCTGGCGTGCAAGCCTGTTGGTGACAGCAGGGTCTGGGCAGAAGGTGATGCTCTTTCCAGCAGAGACGAAGGGACTGGGCTCGCTTCTGAGGACCTCGTGGATGCTCTGGAAGCCATTAGCCATCGCTGGGGCCTGCTCTGTCTGCACACCTCTGGACTGCTGCCCACCACGCTGCCCTCCTGCCCACGGGCTTTCAGCTTCCTTGACCAGGCCTGACTTGCCTAGGTCACGTGTTGCCCTCTCTGGAGAGAAGCTTTGCCTATGCTCTATGAGATCACTCTTCTGTGACCGATCTTCCATGTCTCCTGTGCTGAGAAAAGAGACACCATTGATGTTGGCCAAGACCTGGGCTTTCCGCTCCTGCACGTTGACGGCAGCTTTGGAGATGGTCTTATTGAATTCCTTCCCCGAGCTGTTGGTCACACTGATGTTGCTGGGGAAGCGATGGACCTTGGGTGCTGGCTGCCTGTGCCACGGGAAGTGGTCTCCATTCCGGGGAGCTAAAGATGTCAGTGTCCTCCATTCTCCGGGCCTGCACTCCTTTGATGGGGATGTGGGCGAAAGGGCTTCATTTCCTGCCAACTTTTCAGAAATTTTCTGTGCGATAACAAGAGGAGTAGGAACTGAGCGGGGGAGTTTGGGGTGCTCTGTGGGAGGAGGTGGAGAGAGCAGCTCTCTCCTGGGGTAGGCTGGGGCTGAGGTGTTCAGTGGGGAAGGTGGCAGGGGAAGGGCCTCTGGAACCGTGGCATCTGGTGGTGGAGAATTCTCAGCATCTTGTTTTTTGTATTCGAGAATAGGGATGTCTTCCTTTCCAATGGGTCCAGCCCCTGCAAAATGAGGGAGAAGCTTCATAATCTACAACCTTGGGTAAAAGTAAATACATTATACTCCTTTTCACTGAATCAAGAGACATAACACCCACTCTCTCAGGGCTCCCATGAGACTCCACTATCTCTATTCCCCAGATAGTGAAGGAGAAGCAGTACAGTCTCATGACCACATGCTAAGGAAGGGCGAATCCATGATGGTGAAAAGCCTGTGAGGGGTCAGCAGATGGCAAGGTGGTTAAGACACTGGAGTTCCATATGGCTGGACCCGATGGCTTGAAAATCACACTGGGCATGTGTGCATGCGTACCCAAAAAGAATGAGTAGAGTGGAGGAGAAGGAATTGTGACATCCCCCCGGGGGTGATGGCCATCTTTCCCCTCTTTCCATAAGCCCACGTTGCCCTATGGCAAAAATCCAAAACAAAACAAAACCTGTGAGAGACATGCTTAATAGCCAGGAGCTTCCTGTAAGAAGAGGCTTTGAGGCTCCATCACCCTAAGGGGAAACTGAGGTTACAAAGTTGTACGGTACACACCAACAACTCCAGTTCCTTTTAGACAAAGTGCATAAGGCTACAACATTTCTCTATCACGCAGAAATGTTCCCTGAAAACACATGTGGAATTTGATAGGCCTGCTTTTGAGCTTTCACTCAAAAGTGACAAATGTCAATCTGAGATCACATGATTTCTTTAATGAGAAAGATGGAGGTGGTGGTGGTGGTGGGGTTACATGGGAGATGGTCATGCTACAACCCTTCTCCTTATTTCTCTCTCTCTTCAGGATTTTGGGCATGTGCACACATATACCTGGCATGTTTTTCAAGCCTCTGGATCTGAAACCCAAGTTGTGCAGTCACCCATGTGGATCCAGCTGCCTTAACCACCCTACTGTAGGCTGGCCCTCACCTGACACTTTCTGCACCTAGGCTTACACACTCATCCTCTGCTACAAAACTGTAAGCCATGTCTTTGTATCTTTTTTTTTTTTTTTTTTGAGAGGTTTTTGCTATAGGGCACGTGTGCTTGCCAGACAGATAGACAGAGAGACAGAAAGCGAGAAATCACCCCCCAGGGGGGATGGCCACGCCGCAATCCCTTCTCCTCCATTCTTCTCTCGGGATCTTGGGCATGCACGCACACATGTCCGGTGTGAGTTTAAGCCACCGGGTCCAGGACTCGAACCATGGTCAACTACGTGGGAGTCCAGCAACATAGCCATTATGCTAACTGCTGGTCCCCGTCTTTGTATCTTTAGAGTCTCACATAATGTCTACTGGAGTAGGCACTTAAAATTGTGAAAATATGGGGCCAGCAAGGGGTATGGTGGTCGAGGCAGCTGGATCCCACATAGCAGACTCTGCAACTCAAGTCCCATACCAGGTGGCTTGAAAATGATGCCAGGGGGCCATTAAGGGTCATAGTAGTTAAGATGCTGGACTTCCACATGGTTGACTGTGGCTCAAGTCTCCACCTGGCGCCTTGAAACTCATGCCAGGCGCATGTGTGGGCATGCTAAAAATCCCAAGAAGAGAATGGAGGAGAAAGGATTGTGGCGGTGGCCATCCCCCCCTGGTGTGGGGGTGTGATTTCTCGCTTTCTGTCTCTCTGTCTCTCCAGTGAGCACATGTGCCCTATAACAAAAATCTCTCAAAAGGAGAAGAAAAGAAAAGAAAAATGATGCCGAGCTTGTTTGTGTACATGCCCAAAATCCCAAGAAGAAAATGAGAAGAATGGATTGTGGTGTGGCTATCTCCTTGGGAGTAATTCACTTTCCCTCACTCTCTCTGTCTCTGGCGAACACATGTGCCCTATAACAAAAACTTAAATAAAAAAAAAAAAAAAAGAAACAAAAAATTGTTGTGAAAATATGAGAAAACCAATGGGTGGAGGTGGCTTATTTTCAAAAGTGTTTTCCTTGGCATCATAATGTAACCTGACATTTTAAAAGGATCACCTGGTTCAAATTTCTTTTAGGAACTATAATTTAAAGCAGAAGTGTAGTAAATAATGGGAAACTCATATCGAGTCTCTTCTTTGAAGAGATGGCTTCAGACCAAGCGCCACGTGTACATAGAACCCATAATCATAATACGTGACATTCTGATTAATGCTTGCTTAAAATATATATATTTATATATTTTTTTTTCTCAAGGCCCATGACAAATGGCAGTGTTTTATAGTTCCCAGAACCATAGTATTGCCCTCTTATTTCTTCCTCAAACTTTCTAATCCTATCACCTTACACACATTTGTTTCTAATCAGGAAAACAATTGCAAGGGCTTCTCTCTGTCCGTTTTCCTCCAGCTTCATCCCGGGACTCCATGGACAAGAGCAGACCTATCCTTTGATGTCATTTAGAGTCAAGCAAAATGTACAAAGCAAAGCTGAGCTGAATTTTCATTCTGTTTTTTTCCTGTTTTCTTAAACCAGATGACTTTTCGGTTCAGCTACTCCTACCTTGCAAACTTATGCTTCAGAAATGGACGTATTCTCTTGCAATAAAATACAGGGCCCTTGTCTTTTTATTCCCCAAGAATTAAATTGTTACCTGGATGCCCTTCCAATTTTCTTTCTTGCATATATGTTTAATAAATAAAATAATACCTGTGTATATGCCCACTTAGTCTCATTCTTTATTCTAGCCTTTTAGGAATTTCCTTTTATTGGACAATCAAACTACCAAGAAAGAGGATGCTTTTCTTCTATAAAAGTCTGATAACCGTAGCAGCTTCTTTCCTGGCACACACAGGAAAACCCAACACAGTGCCACTGTGTCTTGTAGGAGGCCAATAATCCAAGCCCGAGACCTGGGGATGTGTGCTTCCCTCCTCACCTGCTGCCTGAGCTGTATTGGGATCGCAGTCAGCTTCCCCAGCTGCAGCATCTGGCTGCACTAAATCAATGACATCCTCAGGCTCGGAGTGACTGGACGCACTCTCTTCCAGAGACTGTGAGGAGTGGCAATGGACGCCACTGTCACAAAGGACTGGCTCCTCGATGTCGTCTTCCAGGGAATCAATAGTCTCTTCAAAAAACAGGATCACATCCTTCTCCTCATGTGTGAGGTATTTCAGGCTTTCATCATCCTGTGAGAAAGGTTGGGGATGGGGAATGGAAGAAATAAAGCAAGCAGTGGTTTCATATGGAGTAGGGATTAACGCGTGATCTGGGGTAGAAGTCACTGCCCTCTATCAGCTCCCTGCCATGTGGGTTACCCACTGACAGACTGGTGCCTATGTGTCTCTGACTGTTTCACCCACATGGAAAAGAAGACTGCCACAAAGGTGAGCACATGAAGGGTCTTAGGCCTCTTACTGTGCTCCCCTGTGGTTCCTACAGAGTCAAGGACAAAAAAAAACCAGTTTTCCTTCAGTACCTCCTTGTGAAAGCTGTTTCCAGCCTACTGCTGCCAAGCACACTTGTTTTTCCATAACAATAGGAAATCTTCGGTTAAAGATAGTGACTTGAACTTAAAAGAGTGGATTGTTTATCTCCTCTCCATCCAGAAGCCCCACTAACACAATAAAGGGATTTCTTCTAAAGGCGTGAATCACAAAGATAAAAATAATAGGAAAAGAGATGACAGCAACGACGTTAGGGCAGAAGACAAGTGGAAACTAAGAGCCAAAAGGCCAAACCTGCAGGTGGCAACCTGGGGCCCACAAGTGGCTGCTGTGTCCTGCAGGCTGCCCAGGCAGACCTGAGTGGTACTGGCAGTGTGGCATAGGGGACGGGAAAGGAGCAGAAGCAGTGGGATCACCCAGCAGAATACTGGAGGTTCATTCTTTTTTTTTTTCGGAGAGGTTTTTGCTATAGGGCGTGTGCGCTCACCAGACAGGCAGAGAGAGACAGAGAGACAGAAAGCAAGAAATCACTCCCCAGGGGGGATGGCCACGCTGCAATCCCTTCTCCTCCGTTCTCCTCTCGGGATCTTGGGCACGCACACGCACACGCACCTGGCGTGAGTTTAAGCCACCGGGTCCGGGACTCGAACCATGGTCGACTACATTGGAGTCCAGCGACATAGCCATTACGCTAACTACTGGTCCCAAGGCTCATTCTTTTTAAAAGTTTATTTTATTCATGATCAAGAGTGCATTTACACAAGAAAGAGACACCTTTGACAAGTTTACTCATGCCACGATCCTTTTCCCTAGCCCTCTACTTCATCAGGCTCTTGGACCGTGATGTGCCCTGTGATTACAAGCTGATTCTGGGATCAGAACCATGGTCAGCCAGATGGCTTCTAGTGATGAGTTCAATTTCCTACCAACTGCATTAGGCTGGGCCACAGTTTTTTATTCCTAAAGAAGATAAGGAGTAATTCTGAAGTGGGGGCCATGAAGCAGAGTTGGGTGAGGAATTTTACTGGCACAGGGAGAGTAAACGAAGCCAAACTGATACCTTCTAAACAGGATGGTAAGTCTTTTTTGGGGAATCTGGAGGGTCCAAGAGCCAAAAAAGGCTGAGACCCAAAGTTCCCCAATGAAAAGCTCAGTGATATCAGTTGACTCACGGCCGTAATCCCTTCTCCTCTACCTATATCCTTTCAGGATTTGGAGCGCACACACACACACGCTCCAAGTCACCAGGTCTAGGAGTTGAACTGGGCGGTCAGTCAAGTGAATCTGTTAGCTCACAGAACCACTAGGTCACAGGCTGGCTCGATTAGAGACTTCCCTTTAGGTGATAGTATAATATACACTTGTTTCTCGGATGATCAACACAAGAATATACACATTTCTCTAATTAGTCTGGCCATATCAGCTTAATGCTGAGAGAATGATGATGCAGGAAAAGGAGCGATAGCTACAGCAAGGGTCAGGAAAGCAGACAGAACACTGCTAGGGAGAATAAGCAATAGGTACCTGCCGGATATAACGCTATATACAATTTCTGGGTCACAAGACAGGTGTCTGCTTTGGTGGACAGATACAGCCCAGTGGTTTTCCAAAGTAGCTGAACTAATTTATATTCTACTAGTAGGATTGGTAGCTCTGAATCTCTGCATGATAAGTATGTGATAGTATCAGATTATTATTTTCATGAAGACTAGTGGTGTTGAGCATTTTTCTCATAATACTTAATGGCCATTTGAAGATCTTCTCATAAAGTGCCTGTGTAAACCTTTTGCCTATTTTTCTATTACTGTATCTTTAAAATATGATTTATAGGGGCTTTTTATCTATTCTAACTATAAATCTTTTGTTGGATATATTGCAAATATTTTCTTGCTCAGCAGCTTGCTTTTTCTTTTAATGATGGGGGTCTTTTGATGATTAACCCTTCATTTTATTTATTTATTTCTTAATCCTTCATTTCAATGTAGTGCAATGTGCTGGTCTGTTCCTGGATTGTGTTTTCTGTACACTTGTTTACTTGTCTGTACACCAATAAAATAGTTTCAATTACTATAATTTTATAACAAGTCTCAACATCTGTGAGTTTAAAGACCTAGTTTTGCTGCTCTTCCTTAAGTCTGTGCTAGCTTCTCTTGCCTTTTTTATCTCCACGCATATTTTAGTATCATTCTGTCAATTTCCATACACACATAAACACATGTGCCCCTGCTGTGACTTGAACTGGAATTGCATGAACAAATTCAGGAGAACTGATGGTTTTGCAATATTTTTTCAAACGAGTAGGGTGTATGCCTTCATTTATTTGGATGTGTTCTCAGAACGTGGCCCCTAGACCAGCAGCAGCAACAGCAGCAGCAGCAGCA